AGAAGGGGCCACGGAGGCCTCCAGGAGGAGGAGGAGGGCTGAGAGGGGAAACTGAGGCTGAGGGGGTTGATTTGCCCCAGAGCCCCTGTCCTGCCTGTCCTAGGTGGGCTGGCCCTATAAGAACGTGGTGAGGGAGCTGCTACGGGAGCCAACTGGGGCCAGCCTAGTGCTGAAGAAGGTCCCAGTGCCAGGGCCGCCCCCGCAGGTACCTGCCCCTCCCCTCCCCACCTCCCCACTCCCCACCTGCTTGCAGACCCCTGCCCTCAGCTCCTTCACCCTGTTCTCGTTGTGCCCTAGACGCCTCCTCAGACCCTGAGCTCCCCACACCGGAGGGTTCTGGCAGCCTCACCAACTCCCAGGTAATGACTCTGCCTTGGGTATGTTCTGGTGGGGGACCCAGGGCCTCACTTAACCCCTCCTCCCTCTCTCCAGTGCCCTGTCTGAAGAGGTCTTTGCCTTTGATCTGCCTTCAGACCCAAGCCCGGTGCCCAGCTCTGCCTGGACAGGTAGTGTCAGAGCCCCACCAGGGGCAGATGCCCTGGGCAGCCCTTTGCTCTGGGATTCTGACACCCCCTCCCTACTGCTGGTCCCCGGACAGGGCTCATGGGCCCTATCTCTCCCCTCTGACAGACGAGACCTCTCTTGACTCTGAGCCCCTGCCCATCCCTCCTACACCCCCAGACAGGCTCCCAGCAGGGGCCGCGGAGACTCCGGAGCCTCCTGACAAGGTAAGATCAGGGACTCGCTAAGGAGGGGCGTGCGGTGGCACCAGACCCTTCTCTGACCTCTTTTGGTCCTTTCAGAGTCCTTTCCCTGGTCGCAAGAAATCAAAAGGTATGAAATGCACCTAATGGAGTGGGCCCCAATGTGAAGGGCTCTTAGAAGTCTCCGCAGTGCAGGGCAAGACCACCCCCCACTCCCCACACAGCCTCTCCTGGCAGCAACCCTGTTCTGGGTTCAGACAGACTGTGCCCCCCGCCTGGGCCCTCACCAGCTCTGCAACCCAGCAGTTGGCTTCTCCTCTGACGTCACTTCTGTCTCAGAAATGGGCTCATGGTCCCCACCTCAGAGCCAACACCTGTCACTTTATAAGCACAGAGTATGGGATTAGAAATCCGGTCTGGGGGTGTCCGTAGGGTACGGGGAGAGCAGGAGGGGGCCCTGTGGCCTTGCCTGCCCCTGGCTGCCTGGCCGCTGTGCCTGCAGGCGTGGCGACGCAGCTGAGCCGGCGGCGGGTGTCCTGCCGGGAGCTGGGCCAGCCCGACTGTGATGGCTGGCTCCTGCTGCGCAAGGTGCCGGGCGGCTTCATGGGTCCCCGCTGGCGTCGCTGCTGGTTCGTGCTCAAGGGACACACGCTCTACTGGTACCGCCAGCCCCAGGTGAGACCCGGGGCTACGGTTCTGCCCCTCTTCCTCTACCCACTTGCACCTGTGGTCACAGGTCCTTTGGGCCCCACTGTTCTCACCTGGGAGAAGGGAAACTCCGGAGAAAAACGAGTTAATGTGTATTAAAAGCTGGAAAAAGGTGTGCAGAGAAGCACTTTTATTCTGCCTGCCTTCCCTTCCTCTTCTCTTGTTCTGTGCATCCTTGTAATGGGCCGTTCACTCGGTTGTTTTTTATTCATTCATGAAACATTCAGTGCCTCCCTGATACCCAGCTTTGGCTGGACACTGGGGGCTCAGCATAGGATTGGATAATTCCTGCTCCTCCAGGCTGGCAGGGGAGACACTCAGGGGTGCGAACATGGCCCAGAAACATGTGGAAAGGGAAGAGCCCAAGGGCTGGGCGGGAGCCCAGCAGAGGTGTCCAGTCCAGCTTGAGGAGCTGGAAAGGCTTCCTGAGAAGGCAGTGCCTGCGGCTGGTCATACGCAGAGGACAGCAGTGTGAGCCGCTTCACCTGCTAATGGAAGAGATGCACAAGCAGTCTCCTCTTCCTTGGCTGTGCATCTGGAGAACTTGGCTCCCCTTCCTGGCTCAGCGCACCCCTTGGTCACTCACCCGCTCCCTGCCCCAGATTCCTGTCCTGAGCTCCAGGGACTGAGACTTGTGGCTAGAGAACCTGGCAGATGCCCTCCCTCTGCCCCGCCTGCCTGACTCAGGGCCTTGGGGGTGTGGGGGTTGGAGGCCTAGCCTTACCCTGCGATGCCCCCAGGATGCGAAGGCCGAGGGACTCATCAATGTCTCCAACTACAGTCTGGAAAGTGGATCCGATCAGAAGAAAAAATAGTTAAGTCCTGGGGTGTGACTGGCTGGGGGGTGGGGGACAAAGGGAGCAGTGTCAGGAGGAGCGATGGGGGGCAGTGAGTGGTGGGGACTCCCGGCCCAGATTCTCTGGTTTCTGACTGGGGGCCCCCAGGCTGAGTGAGAGCCTCTGTTCTCCCTGGCAGCGTGTTCCAGCTCACCCACGACGTGTACAAGCCCTTCATCTTTGCTGCCGACACACTGACAGATCTGAGCAAGTGAGTGCCCACCCCCCGACTCCCACAGCTGCGTCCCTGCTCCCACCCAGGTGCTCCTCAGGAGCCTGGACCCAAAGCCCAATTCTCTGATCATGCTTGGTCAAGGCACGCACTTCTCTGAGCCTCAGTTTCATCATCTATAAAATGGGTTAATGAGCATTTCTACCTCTGAGTTGCTCTGAGGATTAGGATTAAGATGAGATGGCTCAAAGTCCTTGGCACACGGTCAGTGGAAGCTCCCTAAGGCCCCTCTGTCCCTTCCTAGGTGGGTGCGCCATCTTATTACCTGCATTTCCAAGTACCAGTCTCCAGGCCGGTGCCCCCTGCCCCGAGAAGAAGGTGGGTGTCTCCTAGGCCTCACCTGAGCCTTTGCCTGTCCTGGGACGGGGCTGGATCTCAAATACCCGAGCCCACACCCTGGCCTCAACAGGCCCAATGTAACCTACTGGGTTCCCTAACTGCCCCATCCACCCCAGACTGCTACAGTGAGACGGAAGCAGAAGACCATGACGACGACACCGGCTCCCGCTCAGCCTCAGTGAGTGAGGGGCAGAAGGGCATACGCAGTAGAGTGTGGGGTTCAGACTGAGGCCCTCCTCTCCTTCCCTCTCCCCGCAGCCCAGCCCGGCCGCAACCTGGAGTCCGTCCCACGGAGCCACAGCCCCTGCAGCCACCCCCACGCAGGGCAGCCCACTCACCTCCACAGACAGCAGTGAAGGGGCACTGGAAGGAATGGTACGGGGGCTGAAGCAAGGTGGGGTGTCCCTCCTGGGCCAGCCACAACCCCTCACTCAAGAACAGTGGCGGAGTTCGTTCATGCGGCGCAACCCAGACCCCAAGCTCAACGAGCGAGCACACCACGTGCGGGCGCTGCAGAGCACACTGAAGGTCAGCTGGGGGCCGGCTGGGCGGGTGGGGGCCGGCTGGGCGG